GTGTTGATAGTGGTGATAACGATGATAGTCAACTTATTTAATCATTTTTTATACTGTAGCATTGTGATTAGCTACAAGTTCTACTTTGCTACCTTTTTGCTCTTGTAAGTGCGACATTTGTGCGTCTAAAATCAAAAATAAACAATACCTTAATCAAAGTACAACTCCAGATAAATCTGTTAAGAAGAGACTAACACAAACCTAACCCTAACCCAGGAGTCAGATGGCGTGGTGGTAAAACGCTCGCCTCTCACCTATGAGGTCCGGGGTTCGAATCCTAGTCGCCCCATGTGAGCTGAGTTGGTTGGTTCTCTTTCCGACTCCGCGGGTTTTTCCGGTCCACCGGTTTTTCCTCCCTCCTCTAAAATCAACCATAACTAATTCTAACTGGTTAGAGCTGTGCTCCGGGGTCATACATTATACCAGTCGCGATTTAGGGATCTAGGATCGTTGGGTTTGTCGTTGTTTGTCTTCTTACATCATCGTCGGTATAACAACTGATATCGACAATCCGATGTAACTTATTAAATTACGGAATAGTGAATATAGTTATGGTCTTGAAAACGATAGTTTTGCATGGACTCCGGGTGGCGCCGGGTTAACTATCGATATGGGAGAAAATTATCATACAACAGCACAGGTTGCAGAGCATCAGGAATGAGGTGGTTACAAGTTAAGAAAGGAAAAGTTGGCTTTAGCAAAAAAAAAAGAAGGGAAGAGAAAAAACTTAAATATAAAAGAATCCTGGTGTGTATTAAACACAGGTGAGAGTATGGTGCAAAAATTAAAGGTCACGTGATCTATGATAAAACAATAGATGCGCACAAGCGAAAGCACCTTTTCCTTCATAGGCACAAAACTGTGATCAGAAGTAAGCTCATATACCTTAGATTGATGTTTGCCGTGTTGGGTCGTTGGGTCCAACGACAAACCCAACGCAAAACTCGGATCCCTAAATCGTGACCCATTTGTCAAGCTGGGAGTATTGTACCACACAATGAACATGTCTGCTTAGAAAAGCCTAACACCTTATTCAAGCAGGGAGTATTGTACCACGCCCTATGAACAAGTCTTTTTTCATTATTCAATGCCCCTAGTACCTGCCACAATCAATAAAGCCCACGTGATCTGTTCGTACGCAAGACAACAAAATAACGTCCTTTTCGCCTCCTTGGAATGCATCTACTGTAGAGATCTAATACAAGATAAAGGCAAATTGATAATGAAGATAACTTATAGGGCTCCGTTCATAATGTATGGCAGCGGGGGCAGGTGAAATTGAGGGGAGATTGGCAAATATTTATCGGAAAAATGGGGGGGATGCACAATTTTTGGAAGAAACTACAAGCCTTGCTTGGGGGGGGGGGGGGGCGTTTTTTTTTGCATGACTTTAATGGGGGGGTGGGGAATTATTCTGGGCAAATTTTCACCTGCTCCCCCTTTGCCGTACATTATGAACGCAGCCTAACAAGTACACAAATGTTTATTGTTATACAGAAACTAAAAATACCTGCACCGCCTTGAGTTGTTTGTGAGAAGCCAATCTGTAAAACCAACAGATTTGATACTGCCAATGTTTCAACATACTATTTAGAAAGCCGAATATCAACGAATTATACTGACCGGCTTTGAGCTAAGTGCGAGGAGATCGTTACAAGTTGCGACTTGTAGAGAGTGATCACGCCTGGCACATATGACAAAAAAAACATAATTAATATATTAATCCCAAAACGTTGAAAATGATACAAGCTTTCAGAATGCAGGTTTCCATCAGACATTAAGACTTTAGTATTTGCAGAGTGGGATAACATATCTCACCTAGTTGCTCTGGTTCTAATCCTGATTCCAAGAGACAGCCAACAAGAAATACAACGAATTCTGCCTATAAAATCCAATAAAAGATAAAAATAAAACTTGCCAAGTTTTTATTTAGGAGCATTGTACTTATGTCATAAATGATATTGTGCTTACTTCCTGCTCATTGTAATAACTCCCATCGCGTCCACATTTCTCTTGGCCTCGTGATACATCATAAAAACACAATGTTGGAGAAAAACTCTGTGCGTATAAGCAATGAAAAATATCATATAAAGAAGGGCAAATACAATCGACTCGTTTTGCTGTAAATCATGCAGTACGTAGAGCATCCGAGAACCGTGTTTAGAATGAAGAGTTAATTTAACTTTCTTACCACAAGAGGAGTTCTGTCTTCTGGAGTAATTCCATCCACTAAATGGCCTTCATAAAACAACCTAATTAGTGATAAACAATAAGTATTGCAAAAAAAAGACTGCAGCATTCGAAGGGCTGAATTATCATTAATCGCCAAATATCTATAATCGCCTATTAAACAGGGTGGTAAAGGCGGGTTATTTCGTCAAACATTATTTGACCGTTTTTATTTCCGTGAAATGTGTGAAATGGCCATTGGTAATATTGTTCGTCCTCTACAGTTTTAAGGTTTTAATTAGCAAGACTAGATTAATTATGGGGGCATCACTAGCATGTGGCTTCAGCGCTTATCTCCATCCCCTCATTTTTGCTTTTATTTTTTATAATATAATATTCATATATTTTGTCAACTAGTATATCTTTAGTGAAGAAATTTAATAAACGAACAACAAGTAAACAACGTTGACAGAAGTTTAACGTAAACTTCGTTGCTTCATCACAATGAACATGCATGAAAATTAGACCAATGTCAAACATCGATCTTCACATGAGCCGAACCTAACGACATCAAAGAATACCGCCTCTTTATTTATTTTATTTACTAATTACTATTTATTATCCATTGTTTCAATTAGGTTGGGCTCATGTGAAGTTAGACGTTTGACCTGAGCCTAACAAACATTGATTTCAACTATACCTGTTGGCCACAGCACTAATAGTAGGATGACAACGGTACTGGAAAACATCCAAACAAACATTAATATACACTTAGAATTGCGTATGTAGTAAGTCTTAACCACCCTGCCAGAGATGAGTATTCTCTACTGAACTACGTTATGGACTACGTTATGGTACCTGGGTTCTAAGAAGTGTGGTTCTGTAACCCTAGATCAAAAACAAGTAAAATCTTATCAATCACTTGTGAAGACTGACACAAAAGAAATAGACATAAAGGTGAGTACCATCTTGGTTAGACGATCAAATAGTGTTTGTTCAAGGCCTGCATGGTTCTCGAGATGTGATCCTTGTGTTGATCCTGGTATAGTTGGACTTAGTTGCTGTAATTGGTAAAACATCAATGACTGGAAATAAATTACGTTATACGTTACGTTGACAAATAAGATGGATATGGTTATTTTACCTTGGGGTCTCCAACAAGAATTAGTTTTTGACATCCAAACCTGATAACACAGAATTGTAAACAAGATACTTTTATAACAATATGATCAGATGCTTGTACCAGCTATTGTTAATGACTAACCTTGCTAAAGGAAGAAGTGCAGTCGGCTCGGTCATTTGACTACATTCATCAAGCAAAACAACCTGTATAATGAACATTAACAAAATTAGAATAGGTCACTTGCAGTATAACGTCATTTACTACCACTACCAGACTCCTTTGCACACTTTCTTTTGACTTCAACGATGTTTGTCATCGAGTTACACACAGATGTCAAAGTGGGTGTGGCCTTTAAAATATAGGTGTGTCCGAGCGCGTAACTCGAAAAGTGTGTAATTCGAAGTACGTAACTTGAAAATTGTAACTTGAGTTTTACCTTCCCTCCTTACAACGATATCTAGAAGAAGGAAACAGTAATGATGAAAAGGTAAATTATACACCGTGAAAAGATGAAAAAACTTACTGACGTTT